ATACAATTACATATAATTGGAAGGTGGAAAGAAGAAAACTTTAAAAGTTAAAAATATAAAAAGATATTTAAAAGAAAGAGGCAGTAACTGAAGACAGGCAAAGAAATCCCAAAATTCATATATAATGAGCCCCTAAAACAAAACAAAAAAGCCACAGGTAGAAAATGGAATAACAAAACTGTACTACAGAAAGTTAACTCCTGGAGTTTTACAGATAGTACAGAAGTTAATGTGCTTTTCTTGCATGCAGTCAACTAGATTGGATCCTCAGTTCTTCCTATGGTTCTCTCAGCACTGCCAGGAATGATTGCTGAGCACAGAGTTAGGAGTAAACCTGGAGCACTATTATGTATGGCCCTCTGCCCATCAAAAATGTTTAAATTCCTCAAATGAGAAGAAAATGGAAGCCTTAAAGAATATAATCCAAACATCTCCAGAGTGACTCAAACCAAAACATATTCTAAACAAAAACTGAGACTTTAAATTTAAAAGAAAAATCATTTGGCATCAAACCAAAAATAGCAGCAACTTACAAGGGAAAAAAAACCTTAGATATTCATCAGCTATTTTCCCCCAAGAGAAACACATTGCGCCAGAAAAAACAATGTAGTGACATACACAAGAACAGACATTGTGAGCCAAGAATTTCACATCCAGCAAAACTGACATCCAAATATAAAAGAAACACAAAAGCTGTTGTCACCATGCAATTTGGAATGGGACCGAATGCACTTCTGATCTCAGGTATAAAATGGAAGAAAGAACTTAGTACTTCCAACTCAAGAGATAACATTGAACAGCTGTATATTATATAGAGAAGCAGTTTTCAATCCTTAATCAATTGATCCTACAAGACCAACCTCAGAGAGAAGGGGGGCTCTCAAAGTTAGCTTCAGAATTGGCCTAACTCTCTTCATTTAAGTTCAGTGACCTGGATGTCCAGCTGAACATTTTGATCTTATCCAGTCATAAATCATGGATCAAAGTTCAAAATAGGTAAATAGGATAAAAGTCTGTAAAGCAGAAAATCTTGAGACAACGCGAGAGAGAGACAGACAAAGACAGAGAGACAGAGACAGAGAGAGACAAATAGAGAGAGAGAGAGGGAGGGACAGAGAGGGAGAGACAGAAAGAGGGAGAGAGTGATAGCCTTTTTTATTATTTTTTATTTAAATTTTTATTAGTGAGACACCCGTATGCGTGCTGCAGGCCGAAGCCTCTTCCATCCTTGTCAAGGGGAGTGCTAACCTTCTCTCCTTTCATACAACACTGTATGATAGCATGGAGTGATAGCATAGCATAGCATAGCATAGCGGTAGGGCGTTCGCCTTACAAGCGGCCAACATGGCCAACCCGAGTCGATTCCTCCGCCCCTCTCGGAGAGCCCGGCAAGCTACCGAGAGTATTCGATATGCCAAACACAGTAACAACAAAGTCTCCAATGGAGACGTTACTGGGCCCGCTCGAGCAAATCGACGATCAATGGGAGGGCCTTTACCTTTACCTAGTGAGACACCATGAGGTACAGTTGTAGACTTACAAATTTTTGTGTTTGGGTTTCAGTTATATAATGATCGAGTACCCATCCCTCCACCAGTGCCCATTTTCCACCACCATGGATCCCAGTATCCCTTCCACCACCCATGCCCCCCATCCCATCCTGCCTCTGTGGCAGGGCATTCCCTTTTGTTCTCTCTCCCCTTCTGGGTGCTGTGGTTTGCAAAAGAGGCATTGAGTGGCAATCATGTTAGGTCTATAGTCTACTTTCAGCATGCATCTCCCATCTGAGGGAATCCTCCCAACACCCTTTATTTGGTGCCCCCTTATCTATCTGAGCTGCATTTTCCCCTAGCGTATGCGGCTGGCTTCCAAACTATGGAGTAAACCTCCTGGTACTTATCTCGGCTATTGTTGGGTGTTATTCTCCTATTTGGTTACTTTATGCTCTCTAGATGAATGCAATCTTTCTATGCCGGTCCCTCTTTCTGACTCATTTCACTTAGCATGATACTTTCCATGTAGTACCACTTGTATGTAAATTTCATGACTTCATCTTTTCTAACAGCCACATAGTATACTCCATTGCGTAGATATACCAAAGTTTCTTCAATCAGTCATCTGTTCTCAGGCACTCAGGCTTTTTTCAGATTCTGGAGAGCCTCATTTTTTCATGGTATTTTAATTCTGTATATTGCTCCAGATATATATATATATATATATATATATATATATATATATCAAACACAGTAATAAGTGTTCCAATAGAGATGTTACTGGGCCCACTCAAACAAATTGATGAATAATGGGAGGACAGTGACAATGATATTTTATATATATATACATATATATATATATATATATATACACACACACATATGGGCTGGAGCGATAGCACAGCGGTAGGGCGTTTGCCTTGCATGCAGCCAATATGGCTGACCCGAGTTTGATTCCTCAGCCCCTCTCAGAGCCTGGCAAGCTACCAAGAGTATTGCGCTCGCACGACAGAGCCTGGCAAGCTACCCGTGATGTATTTGATATGCCAAACACAGTAACAAGTGTCACAATGGAGACGTTACTGGACCCGCTCGAGCAAATTGATGAACAATGGGAGGACCATGATCGTGATATATATTTCTTCTTTTTGCTTGGAGGGGGGCCATACCTGGTGGTGCTCAGGGCTGACTCCTGGCTCTGTGCTTAGGTGACCCCTGGTGGTAGTTGCAGTACTGTGTAGGGTGCCAGGGATTAAATTTAGGTTGACTTTAGGTTGACTGAGAGCAAGACCCACCCACCATACTATCACCCTGACCCCGCTTTGATTCTTGACCAAGGGTTAATCTATGTTTGTGGAGAGAAAGACTATGAGGCTTTCCCTGAGAAGGACACCATTATAGTTCATATGGTAAGTCCTAACATGAGTCTTGAAACACTGTATAGTCAAAAGAGAATAATATCAAGTAGAACTATGATATCAAAAAATGTTTATATGTCTGAGAATTGGATAAAACATTTCTACAATAGACTACATAAGAATTTATATAACATGTATTAATGTTTAGGGGCCTCAACAAGGCCTATACCTGGAATTGCTTGGAAAGATATGTGGTTTCAAAACTGAATCTGGTTGTTGCACATGCAAGGCTTGTGGCCTTGACCCCGAGCTGTCTTCCCAGCCCTAAAGACAGCTTAAATGTAGAAAAATGAGAAATAACAATCCTTATTTATGATACACAGCTAAAATATTGGGTAGAAAAAATATATTGATCTAAATATTTGTATTTTAAAAATTAAAACCAATTACCTGGTTTTTTTTTTTATAATCAAAGAGCTCTTTCCAATAAATGTTAGATCCAGATTAATTTACTAGGGAATATGGTCAAGTATTTTTTGTTATAAGCCCTGTAATAAAATGAGATGGGAAATGAATCCTAATTCATTTTGTGAAAGAAACTTATCATACCAAAATTTTCAAAGGATATTACAAAACAAATGAGATTCACAGATCAAAATCTTTCATGAGCGCATCAAAGCATACATTTAAAAAATCAGGGTCACAGTCATAGTCCTCCCACTGTTTATCTATTTGCTTGAGTGGGCCCAGTAACATTGTGAGACTTGTTACTGTGTTTGGCATATCGAATACATCACGAGTAGCTTCCCAGGCTTTGCCGTGCAGGCAAGGTACTCTCAGTAGCTTGCCAGGCTCTCCAAGGGGGCAGAGGAATCGAACTCGGGGCCATGTTGGCTTCATGCAAGGCAAACGTCCTACCCACTGTGCTATTGCTCCAGCCTACATTTAAAAAAATAGCAAATAGATTTTATATAAAGAATTATATATCAAGTGGCTGTCTGAAGCGATAGCACAGTAGGTAGAGTGTTTGCCTTGCACGCGGCTGACCCAGGTTCGATTCCCAGCATCCCATATGGTATGCTGAACACTGCCAGGAGTGATTCCTGAGTGCAGAGCCAGGAGTAATCGCAGTGCATCTCCGGATGTGACCCAGAAAGCAAAAACAAAACCAAAGAATTATACATCAAGATTGAATTGGATCTATCTCAGATTGAAAAAAAAAATCTAAGAAATTAAAATAAATCAAAGTAACTCATCACAATATATATGTGTATATACAGATATAGATGTAATTGATTTGGGACCACATTAGCTGTGCTCAACTCTGATTCCTTACTCTGCATTCTCAGGAATCTTTCTAGCAGTGCTCACTGAGGTCCACATTTATGTACAGCTCTCACCATATTAGAAAAAGTATAAAATAGTAATCTCAAATGAAAATATAGCAAAATTAAATGCTATTTATAAAGGAAAATTCTTCATAAGTATAAAAAGAAACCAACAATAATATATTTAATGAAATATTTCTATTCTCTTAAATAAGAACAAAATAATAAATTATACTTTGATCATTAATATTAAATATTATAAACTGGATGTTCCAACCAACTTATTAGGGCAGGGTACAAAATAAACAGATTAAGTATAGAAAAAAAGTTGTCAAGTGGTCACTGTTTATAGATAACATTATTGTTCACATAAATAACTGAGGAATCTCTAAGAATAAACTACTGGATCGATTTGTTCATCGATTTGCTCCAGCGGGCCCAGTAACGTCTCCATTGGAGACTTTGTTGTTACTGTGTTTGGCATATCGAATACATCACAGGTAGCTTGCCAGGCTCTGCCATGCGGGCGAGATACTCTGGGTAGCTTGCTGGGCTCTCTGAGAGGGGCGGAGGAATCGAACTCAGGTCGGCCATGTTGGCCACTTATAAGGCAAACACCCTATCGCTGTGCTATCGCTCCAGCCCGAACTACTGGACATAATAAAAAAAATTCAGCACAGTTGCATGATGCAAGGTTAATATACATAAATCTCGACTAGCAACAGCATCTGGAAAATTCCATTTAAACACAGTATCACAGTTTTGTGGAAAAAAAGTTCTAAGGAATAAATTTAACTTAAAAATCCATGTTTTCTTTTTATGAACTCACTTCAGCAGCACGTGTAGTAAAACTGGAATGACACAGAGAAGATTAGCATGACTACTGTACAAGGATGACATGCAAATTAATGAAATATTCCATATTTTTTTAAAAAGTTCATGTTTCTGTACACTGAAAAATAGAAAATAATGCTATGAAAATCAGAGCATTTCAAATAAAGTTTATACACATTCAGGAATACTGCACAGCTCTACAGAATAATGACTTAATGCAATTTGCTGCAATATGAATGGGACTGGAAGATATCATGTTAAAGGAAGTAAGCCAGAAGAAGGACAAACACAGGATGTTATCACTTATATGTGGTATTTAGAGTAACTGGGTAAGAAGGGCCAGAGCCAGGGCATAGCGGGTAGGGCATTTGCTTTGTATGCGGTTGACCTGGGTTTGATTCCTCCACTCCTCTTAGAGAGCCCGGCAAGCTACTGAGAGTATCTCGCCCACATGGCAAAGTCTGGCAAGCTACCTGTGAACATATTCGATATGCCAAAAAACAGTGACAACAAGTCTCACAATGGAGATGTTACTGGTGCCCACTCAAGAAAATCGATGAACAATGGGAGGACAGTGCTACAGTGCTACAGTGGGTAAGGAAATGCAATGTTTTAAAGGGGTCTGCCTAGACCACCCTTGATTTCAGAGTATACGAAGGAGATGGAAAGAAATAGATGAAGGAGAAGTGAGGAAGACATAGATGAGAACCAATGGGGAAGAAGTCTAGGGAATTCAGGTACACTCATGGTTGTTGGGCTGGAGTGATAGCACAGCGGGTAGGGCGTTCGCCTTACAAGCGGCCAACATGGCCGACCCGAGTTCGATTCCTCCGCCCTCTTGGAGAGCCCGGCAAGCTACTGAGAGTATTCGATATGCCAGACACAGTAACAACAAAGTCTCCAATGGAGACGTTACTGGGCCCGCTCGAGCAAATCGACGATCAACGGGAGGGCCTTTACCTTTACCTTTACCATGGTTGTTAAGGAATGATAGCACTAAATATCCAAACCATGGAGTCAATAACACCAAAACCATGAGACCTGATCTTTAATAACCAGATTTGAAAGGTAAATGTCAAAATGACATTCAAAGTGCAAGAATGAGGAGCAAGCAAACTTTTATACATTTATTGTAGTAATATAAAATAGTGTGATTCCTTTTGGAAAATATTCTGGAAGTTTCTTATATAGTTACTTATACTGTTATCATATAGTCCAGAAATGAAATTCTATCAAATATTGTACACTGAAGTTCATGGAATATGTTACTCCTAATCACAAACATCTAAAAACAACAAAAAATCTGTTAAGAAATTGTGACATATCTCTATCTATATAACCAAATTTTTTGAATAGTGAACAAATACACATAATGTTCCAAAATGTTATTGTATAACAAAGAAAGAAGATCAAAAGAGCATATATTATGATTCTATTTAGACAGAACTATAGAAGGGACCCACTATAATGATTGGATATGATAGACCAGTATTTGCTTAATCTGGTAGAAATAAGAAATTGACTAGTATAGTAGACAAGGAAACTAAGAAAAATGCTGTGTATCTTAGTAGTATAGCTGATATACAAGTGAACATACACTTGTCAAAGACATCAAATTTTATACCTAAAATAGGTGTTTATTGTACCTAAGAGAGATCGGGCGCGTTCAGGGTGGTATGGCCGTAATCCATCAGCGGCCAAGACTCAGAGACTATAAAATCCAGATCCCGGACGAGAACAGTGCAGTCTTCTGCCCCCGCGCCTGGGTGTTCCTTCCCGGGGCCCCTTGGAGGGGAGCGGGTTGAGCTTTCCTCCCCGCCCCGACCAGGGCTCCGGCAGCCGAAGACCTCCAGGACCAGCCACCACCATGCTGAGACCACTCTCCGCACACATGAAGGTACTGGCAGAGGGACAAAGCCACGTGGGTTCCGGGGCCAAGACCAGCAAGCCTACTCAGATTGGAGTCGAGCATCTTCCACCCAGATCCTCCAAATTCCAGTAGGCGGGGGTCACACCCACCACCTGGCCCCCTGGCACGGTGTAATCCCATCAGCGGCCAAGACTCAGAGACTATAAAATCCAGATCCCGGACGAGAACAGTGTAGTCTTCTGCCCCCGCGCCTGGGTGTTCCTTCCCGGGGCCCCTTGGAGGGGAGCGGGTTGAGCTTTCCTCCCCGCCCCGACCAGGGCTGCAGCAGCCGAAGACCTCCAGGACCAGCCACCACCATGCTGAGACCACTCTCCGCACACATGATGGTACTGGCAGAGGGACAAAGCCACGCGGGTTCCGGGGCCAAGACCTGCAAGCCTACTCGGATTGGAGTCGAGCATCTTCCACCCAGATCCTCCAAATTCCATAGGCGGGGGTCACACCCACCACCTGGCCCCCTGGTGCTGTGTAATTCCATCAGCGGCCAAGACTCAGAGACTAAATAATTTGCGGCCGCGCGACATCTCATCAGAACTTTTTTTTATGACATCTTATTGTCTCATTCCTACTTTGGACAAACTTGCAGGCTATTGAATGTAGCCTGCCCACAGGGCAGAGTCTGGCAAACTCCCCGTGGCGTACCAAATATGCCAAATACCAGTAACAATAATGGGTCTCATTCTCCTAAAGAGCCTTGAATATAATCTCAGGGCTAGGATGAAAGAGACGTTACTGGGGCCTGCTCGAGGCAATCGACGAATAGCAGGATGATGAAATGAAAAAAATGAAATTGTACCTAAATCATACCTAAATGAAACTGATTTTTAAACATGCTGAGTAAAAGCAGCTGACACAAAGGAGTGAATATCTTATTGTTCCAGCTATATAAAGTTCTGAAACTTGTTATACTAATACACAGACATATAAGTCATGTACATGGTTATCTGGAAACAGAGTTAAGAGGGAATTAAAGGATAGTTGAAAAGTTTCTGAAGTCAAAAAAAAATCCCAAGCCTTGCTAAGATAATTATTGTATTATTCATACCATTTTAAACTCACTGAACTATTTTTTCTGGTTTTCAGACTATACCCAGTAATTCTCAGTTCTGATTCCTGGCTCTATGCTCAGGGACCATTCCTGTTGATGACTCCTATATTATCTCCATAGTCCCTAAACATGTTAAGCTGTGCATGTTATACAAATTATGTTTTAGAAAAATGTATTTTTTAAATCCTAGAAACTATTACTCACATAGAATGAGGAAAAACAAAAAAATCAGAAAATTTAAAAGACAGATAACTGATATCACAGAAGTAGAGATTATTATAACTATATGCCCACAAACTGAATAATGTAAAAAAAAAGTTAAAGTTTCTATAAACACAGAACCTAGCAAAATTTAGTCACAAATAGAAAAAAATGAATAGATTAATAATAAGTAGTAATTTTTTATCATTAACCCCAAAACTTCCCAGTTAAGGAAAACCCAAAACCAGAAACTAACAGTAGTGAATTTTACTAAACATTAAAAAAGAATTAACATCAATACTTATGGAATTCTAAGAGATTACAAATAATGAAAAACTTCAAAGCACATTCAATGGTACAATTATTCTGATATCAGAGCCACATACAGATACTGAACAAAAGCTAACAGCCCTTAAGAATATACATAAAAGCTAATAACCTTGATGAATGTAGACACACAAATTATCAACTGAATTATAAAACCCCAACTTAAAGCACAGCAAAAGCATCAAATGTGAGACTGAAGAGACAGAGGTTAAGGCATATGCCTGGGAACTGGTTGACTCCAGTTAAAATCCTGGATATCACATGGTTCCCAGAAAACCAAGTTTGGCATTTAGAGGGCCACAAGTGCGACAGCATTCTTGGACCCTTGCATTAAACCATCATCAGCCCAGTGGCCAAGAACTGCCCGGAGGGGCACTCAAATTCCTTAACACTGCTCTGCTTGTGAGACTCCCACACCTCTCTGCAAAAAATAAAAAATTAAATCAGGAAGTTAGATATCATTTATCATTTTCTTTGCTCTTTCTCAGGATTTCTGTAACTATTTGGTGTCTTACCCCACCCTACCAAAAAAAAAATCATACTCCATGGTCAACTTGGCTTTATTCCTAATTTATCCCTAGACTGCAAGGATGATTCAAAATACACAGATAAAAATGATGCAATTTTTAATGGACTGAAAGACTAATCAATGATCATCTCAATATATAAAATAAATGCATTAGCAGAATTTATGAGAAAAGGCCATGTTCAATATAAAATAAACATGTCTCAACATAATAAAAATCATATAAGTCAATCCACAGTAAACATTTCACGTCACAGGGAAAAGTTGAAAGATTTTCTTTTAAGATGAGGAAAAGGCAAGAATGCCAACTCTAGCAACTTTTATTATCATAGTAGAGAAGTCCTTACAGGTGATGAGAAGAGAGGGAAGAGGAGAGGAAAGGAAAGAAAAACAAAGAAAAGATAAATAGATCAAAAAGAAAGAAATAAAACTATACTCATTTGCAAATGATTTGACATTATTTATAAAAAACAGTAAAGATCCATCAAAACAAAAAATTTAAAAAATAAACAAATTCAGGAAAGTTGCAAGATACAAAATAAATATGAAAAGTTAGTTATGTTTCCTAAAATAAAAAGAAACTAACTGAAAAAGAAATTAAAGACATAATTCCATTTACAATAGAATCAAACAATAAAAATACCCAGGAATAAATCTAACTAAAAAAGTGAAGGATCTGTATAGTGAAAGCAATAAACACTAAAGAATTATATTGAAGAGTACACATATGAAAAGATAGTACATGCTCATGGATCAGAAAAACCTTGTTAAAATGCGTTCTATCCAAACTCATTTATAGATTAAATACAGACCCCAGAAAATTTCAATATAATTTTTCACAGAAACAGGAAAACAGTTGTTACAACACTAAAATTTTCATGGAATTAAAGAAGACTCCACATAGCCATTGTAATCCTGAGAAAGAAGAAAGCAAATGACATTACATCTCCTAGTCTTAACTTTTATCTTATTTTGTTTTGGGGGTCGCACCATTCAGTGCTAAGATCTTACTCCTGACTCCTGTGCTCAACAATCACGCCTGGCAGACAGTGCTTGGGGGAT